CCTCTCCTAGCTCTGCTCCTCTCCTAGCTCTGTCCCTCTCCTGTGTGGAGTAGGCCGAGAGCACTTGTGCAAGGTGTCTAACTGTCCACACTTAATTTTTCTGTTAGCAAACACAGGCCCGGACTGCAGGATTCCCAGTGTCCTGACAGCTGATTTGACCCGCTGCCCTGCTGCTGTTGTTGTTGTTGTTCTTCTTCTTTAAATTTATTTATTTAATCATTATCATTTTATATTATTGCATGTCAGATGTACTCAAGTGATCATTTCCTAATTCGATAATAAATCGATAATAAATCTGTTAGTCTTTTGACTCACCTCCGGCGAACGGTTTCGAACAGAGGGATCAACGCCCAGAGCGGGGAAGGAGAGGAAGCGGCCGGGTGGAGCGGAGAGGGAAAGGGCACGCATAAGCAAAGTCCTCCATGAAGAAGCAGCAAAATGTAGCAAAAATAACTGACCTGTTCAGGGCTTCAAGTGCAGCTCAGTCTCATCTGTAAATACTGTTGCTTTGTGTTCGCTAACTTAGCTAATCAACTATTAACTACAATTTGCAAACGTTAGCACTATTACTATCGTCACTCAAAATATGCTAAAGGACAGCATTATCTACTGTATAGTTATAATACGAAGTAATTTAGCAGACAAATATCCAAATTGACGTACAGTACATTTAGGGAGCCCTCCATGCTGTTATTTTAAATGTTGAAATTACAAATACAGCTAGGGCAAACAACAACAACAACAACGACAACAACAAACACTTTTCCAAGCTAAGGCAATATCATGTTCAGTAGTAGGATTTTTCTAAAAAGATATTGTCATGATATAGTTAATCTTATACAGATATTTAGGCAATTTAGAAAATTATGTCTGCCCATATTTGAAGTTGAAAAAAAAAACAAAAAAACTTTTTCTCCTATTTTTCACAATAAGGTGGAGAGAGTGAACCTGGCACTGGAGTAGATGCCAACCCTCCAGATGCTGATGAGGGCTTGGAGTTGGTGAGCAGTGTTTGTAAAAACTGTGCTGCTATGTCCTTCTGTCTAAACACGACCTGGTCACTGATGCCTACCATATCACTGGGACAAGTTTTTGTTGACATTGTATGTGACACAAGTAGCCTGTGAGAGAAGCTTCTCCACATTGAAGCTTGTGAAGAACAGACTTAGGACCTCTATTAATCAGGAACACCTTGAGGCTTTCATGTTAATGCCAACAGAGAGGGAGATACTTGTTGGAACTGACATTGACAACATTGTTGATAAAGTTGCTGAGAGCAGTGATGTCTTGCGCCACCTGCTGACTTTCAAAGATAAGTCCTTTGTTTACCTCTCTTCTGCATTTGATGTACTTTTGTGAGTGAGAAGTAGAGAGTTACTGTCAGCTTTGCACTTCTGGTGTTTGTTAAATGCTTGGTATAATGTTCTGTGCAGACCCATGTAAGATGATATAAATTAGGACTGCTTCACTACCTCTAGGCTGCTTGTTTGTGTTTTTATGGGATGGCCATACTGTGTGTGATGAATTTAGGACAGCAAAAATAGGGTTGTCAGTGGTTTAAAAATTTGTTGTGGGTGTATAGGGTGGCCTGGATGAATGTGAGACTCCCTGAAATTATGTCCCAGTCCGGCCTTGGTACAACATTTAGTACATCACTAATAAGTGCACTACATCTCCGTGAGTTTCCCTGTGTGAACACACATGCATTGATTTTTGCAGATTTTATTAATCTTTTTCTTTAAGATACTTCACAGAATTTAAGGTGGGCTATGTTTGTTTCCTGCAGATAGCTTTAATTTGTCCGAGAGATGGTGACCCGAATTTGTGACTCACATGAGTCGCACGTTGACTGACTTTCATCTTGACTCGGACTTGAACTTGATTTTCTCACAACTTAGGAGAGGCCTCATAAAATTTCAGCCTGGATAAAAGCATGAAAATACAAATCAATTAGGACAGCAAAAATAATACCATAATTGAATAAAACGGTTTGTTCCCAATCTTGCTTTTGCAGCTTTGTCTGTGAGCTCATGCTACAGAAAAATGTTTATGTAAAAAACATAATGAAGTCTGTTTGGTTTTGCCTACAGAAAAACTGTGGCAGATTCTTGCAGATGCTCAGTAAACCTTGCCAGGTAATTTCCTTATAAAACTGCACAAATTCTACCTGAGACTTCTGATGCATTTTGAAAAAGCAAAGGCTTGTTACACCAAATATTGACTTTAAATTTATTAGTCTGTTTATTGGTCTTTATCATTTTTTTCATGTAGAAATGTTTAATTTCAGTATTTTTTCTTTGCAAGTGCCTAAGACTTTTGCACAGTACTGTATATCTCAAATGCACTATACACTAAGGTGTTCTTGTTTATCCTCATATGAGACAGTGTGAGTGCCTTATTAGGAAGCTAACGTTAATACAGCTACAGCGTACTGCGGTTTATTTTACACCTCCCAAATGACAGGGGCCTTTGAGAATTACCTGGATCCCTTCTTCTGCATGTTCACACACACACTGAGACCTTCCAAAAAGGTCACAAAGTGACATCTGATACAGTATTTGCAATACTGCTGTCC